GGTGTGAGACTTTTTGGATCTCTGCAGTGGGCTGAGGGAAGTTGTGAAGACTTGTATTGACCTCTACGCCTGCCCGGTCCCCGCTATGTACCGTATTTTGCGGTCCATAAGACGCACCGGACCATAGGACGCAGGAGGTCCGGCGCGCCTTATGGAACACTCCACACACCGTAGCTTCTGTCGCAGCTTCTATGACAGAAGCTGCAGTTAGTGACCGCTGAGACAGGGGGCGCTGTGATTACAGCGCCACGGTCTCAGTGATCACACAGAGCAGACGAAGAAAGTCCGTTCTTCGTCTGCTCTATGGTGATCTCGATAGTCGCCGCTGCTCGCTTTTAATACGAGTGATCTCATTAGATCACTCGTATTAAACGAGCAGTGGCTCCTACTACTCGCCCGATCCTGCATGTGTCTCGGGCGTCGGCATTCGCTCCATGAGACGCAGGCACATTTCCCCCCTCCTCTTGGGGGGGAAAAAAGTGCGTCTTATGGAGCGAAAAATACGGTATGTTATGTCCTGGCACACAGCTGCCCTATGTGGACTTCTTTCTACCCAGCTGCAGAGGAGGCGGTTAGCTGGGACTGAATTTGGGTCAGCGCAGAGGTAAGTGTAAGGAGCAGCTGTTACCCTGCTCGCCCTAAGAGACAGACAAGACCAGTCACCCTGTACAAAGAGAGAGAGCGTCAGTGAGCGGTCTTTATTACAGAAGGGGGCGGAGACAAGACCAGACACCCTGCACAAGGAGAGAGCGCAGCAGTGAGCGGTCTTTATTACAGGAGGGGGCGGAGACGAGACCAGTCACCCTGTACAAAGAGAGAGCAGCAGTGAGCGGTCTTTATTACAGGAGGGGGCGGAGACAAGACCAGTCAGCCTGCAACAGGGAGGTGTTACAGGAAACTCCAAGTCTTACACGGGATTACTGCACAGATTCAGGAATACACACGTCATTTGTTTTTAGACCGGGGTAGGCAATCTTGGCCCTCCACCTGTTGTGGAAATACAAGTTCCATTATGCACTTTCAGGCTATGACAGGCATTGCAGAGGCATAATGGGATGTGTAGTTTCGCTATAGCCGGAGTACCGAGGTTGTCTCCCGATTCAGACAATATGTACTTATTCCATAGTTCAGCTTTTCCCATCTAATGGAGGGAAATTCACTTGTTGCTCTGGGTAACTCATCTCCTGTAAGGTGACTTGTTGCTCTGGGTAACTCATCTCCTGTAAGGTGACTTGTTGCTCTGGGTAACTCATCTCCTGTAAGGTGACTTGTTGCTCTGGGTAACTCATCTCCTGTAAGATGACTTGTTGCTCTGGGTAACTGCATCTCCTCCTCCCCCCCCTCATGTGTTTCTCTGATGGCTGAGCCAATCACTGCTCAGGGTGACAGTTTAATTCTCATGTCCATGTCTAGGTGCTCCTGACTCCTTCCATCGCTGTCTCTGCATCCAGTCCTCGCACTGGCCTCCTTTCCTGCCCGTTATAGATAAGCGGCCTCCTTACCCCGGAGATGGGCGGCCGCTGTGAGACCGCAGCGCTAATTACATTACTGAGCCGAGTCTCTCGCCTTCGTCTCCACGGCAACCGATTCCAAGAATCACCGGCTGCGGGGACTCGCCTCTAATACCCTAATTCCCCTTCCTCTGCTAATGACCAGACTGCGGCCTTCTCAACACTATGGAAG